GCTTTTAATGGACGGCATTAAGGGACTGGAAGCGTAAACACGTTGCCTGTGATCCTTTCGGGCGTCTGCTAATCGCATCGTGTACTACTTGTACTTGGTACGACTGCGATCATGCCTGATCTAGCCGGCCTCAATAATTTCCCCAACTGTACCTCTCCATGCTTGACGATCCGCAGCAGCAAATTTGGACAATTAAACTCTCAACAGGAAGGATTCGGGTGGACCGGATGCTGGAATAGTACAGTGCGTGACCGATCTCATGAAATGTTAGCCAAAATTATGGAATGCGTTTCTGATTAGGAAGGATTACTTAAGTGGGGTTTTTATACTGATTATCATGCAGCATAACCCCATAACATTTCGGATTCGCCAGGATGTCGGCCTTTGAACGCACTTCCTTTTGACCTCCTGCAGAAACCACACTCGGTAAAAAATGACTACTTAAGTAGCGTGCAGTTTTCCTATTGATTTTCGATGGTCTTATAAATTTAAATATTTATTACGGAAAAAATTCACAAAATATGCTTTCTTTTGCTCATTTGGTAGAAAATCACATTGTCTTCATATTTTATACCTGAAGAAAGTGTATATTTTGGATTTTAAAAAGTTTCCCAATTCCCGAATAATTTTCAGCCTGATATGCGTTTACCAATTTCGGTCTGCAGGGTACATGCTTTCCGCATAAGGAGAATCATATATTCCTCTGTGCCTTTAAGAAGACACCACATAGAGTTCATGAAATTTTGCAATGGATCCGGACTGTGTTGTACATTTCATGAGGAGCATTAGTAAACGGACATGTGCGGTCTTGCATGCATGGACATCGCACGGTCTTTAAAATCTCATAATTAGAAATTTTTAAAGTCAAAGTATACACTTTCTTCGGGTATAAAATACGAAGACAATATGTTTTTTTTAGCAAAAACAAAGCATATTCTTGTGCATATTTTGTAGACTGAAATCGCTAAATGCTAATGCAGCGGCCGATCAGGCTCAAAATTATTCGGGGATTGGGAAACTTTTTAAAAACCAATATGTACACTTTTCGGGCATAAATGTGAAGAAAATATGGTTTTTTTACCAAACAAGTAAAAGAAAGCATATTCTTGTGCGTATTTTTTATAAAATATATTTAAATTTACAAGACAACCGAAAATCAACGAGAAGAATGCATGCTACTTAAGTAGTCATTTTTTACCGAGTATGCTTTCTGCAGGAGGTCGAAAAAAGTACTTGCAAAAGTTGACATTCTGGCGATTCCGAAATGTTATAGGGTTATGCTTCATGATAATCAGTATAACAACCCCACATAAGTAATCCTTCCTAATTGGAAACTCATTCCAGAATTTTGGCCAACATTTCATGAGATCGGTCACGTACTGTGCATGTCCCGCGAGCCTAGCAGCGATTGTGAACCTCTGACTCCACTCCAGATACAGACGTGTACGCAAGACGCGAAGTCTCTCTTAAATTGCGCAACCGAGGAGGATTTGCATCGAGTTCGTAGGACTCACGTCGGAATTAGAAGGTTGATGCCGGTATCTCCACTGGGGATCGGGTGAGGCCGCCTAAAACTTGTTGACTGAAGAGTCGATCACTGTCGTACTCCAGGATTGGTGGGATATCAGAAAGGACTAAAAGGTCGTTTTTGCTGTTGCTTAATGGCGTAGCCGTTTTTAAATAGATTAACTCAGTGCTCAAGCAGGAACTGTGGTGAACGTGCAGTTGCTACCTCACTCGACCAATCGTCTCGACGTCTGTAACTTCATCTCTGATACAGACATAAAACTAAGCCTAAGTGCGTATTTTTTGGGAGATGTAATCATCTGCTAAGCGCAAAAAAACCAACAGGTTATTTGCAATCGATTTCTGCATGCTTCAAGGCAACAGTCCGACCGTCGCAAGCGAACATATCCACCGCTGAGGTCGACGCAGCACCAGGGATTGCATTGGCTTGTATTGAGGTAGGCCAGGGCAGCATCGACTGCGCTCCCCCTACACACTCACTTTGCTCCATTGCCAAGACTCAGGAGGTGGATGAGGTTGCGTGGGATGGCGAAGCCAAATAAAGCGTCCTGGCGTGCCACAGTACGCTGTCCAGAGTTTTGATTTACCGGTCTACAGTAGGGCTAACTTGAATATCGCGTTGCTGAATGCATTAGAAAACACACTACTACGGGTTCGTTGTCACCTTACACTCAGTCCCGAGGAAGGCTAAGCTGTGCCATCAGCTATCAGCTTCCTAAACAAAGACTAGTTGCGTATCATGGTGTAGATAAAGGCGTGTCAGACAATAGCGAGCCGTGTGTGCATTCACAGCACTCCGGATGCATCAGGCCAGGATTGTTGGAGTCTGGAAAATGTTGGGTTGCCATCTGGAATGCCTGGATATACTACGAAGAGACGCACACCGTCTATGTATCCACCTGTGTAAGGCTACCCTTGGCGGCTGACTCTAAGATGCTCATCAATAAATTGTCATCGCGCCGTAAAATGTCAAGTGGGCCTTCCTGTCTGTTTAATGCTCAGTGTTATACAGGCACAATAATCCTTACTACAGACAGAATGGTGTCGCCGACAATGACCATTCTGCCTTTATCATGCGCCGCTGTGTTGTACTCGAGAGACAGAGAGAGCCCGTAAGGCACAACGGAACGTGTGAGTTCCCTACGAACGATCGGTGAGCGCTCATCTACCAATGCTTACTACATCAATATCGCCACTGTTACCTCACTCCTCTCTCCCCAATGCGCCGGGCGGCCGATCAAGCCTGTGAAATAACTGTTAGGATCGTGCGCAATGACTGAAACGACTGAATGACCCGTCTGAGTGCACACAAATCCGGACGTATCAGGCTTTTGTTAGGGATTTTCGGACCTCGCAATTGTGGAAGTGCCATATGGAATGCTTGGATATGCAAAGATAGTATCCGTCTGCGTGAGATTTTACTTCATGGGTAGCTGCGAAATAATGAACAAAAAATAGGCACCGCGTCGTCAAACGTCTAGTAGGTCCTCCTGCCTCTTTGTGGCCTAGTGTTTCGCTTGATGTGCCCTCCGAACGGGCCACGTGGACCAACACGGGGCCAAATCGGATTTTGGCGGGCGTTATCGGATTGCACACCATAACAATTGTCGGCATTTCGGAGTGCCGTGGCAGACCCGGTTGTTGTTAGCCGTCGCGCACACTGGGACCCCTTCCATCCCCATTATTGTTGTTGGTCAAAGACCTGATCATTTGCTGTGTGGACCAGGGGGTGTGGAGTGGAGAGCCAAGATGAAGCCGGGCCCAGATGGGGAAGAGAGTGCGGCAGATGTTGTGCAGATCTAATAACGTTATAAATCAATTCACACACAATGCATCCTTCCTGCTGCAACTTGCTGTGGAGTGCGCGGTGGAAATCGTCGGCAACGATAGTCGAACTGTCATTGCGCTTAATGCAATAGGACCAAAATAAATTCTCCCTAAGGTATGACCTAATACAAGGCGTACACGCGTTAATGAGACACTTTTGCTTTTATCAGTTTTTTTGAAGCAGACCAGTTTTGACACCGATTTTGTTCGCATTGATTAGATAGTACGGATTTCGTTGGTGTGAAGTAGTCTTTTGGAGTTCTGTTTGTGATTGGTGTTTTTTACAATAACTAGAGACGTCTTGAAATTCCTTTATTTGACGGCTGATCGTGCAGCCGACCGGAAACGATAAGCTAGCGACAGGGGGCCAAATACTGCCGTCGTTGTTTTAAATGTCGCAAGCAAACTGCTAATGGTGAAGCCCCAATGCTGCAGTATTAAGGACCGACCGGCTACTCGAGTAGCCGATAGTAAGTAGTTTGACATCGTACGGTAGGCATGATACACTGCCTTCACTAAACGCTATCCGATAAATGCCATGCAAATGGTCAAACTCATTGTTGAAGACATTTAGTGGGTTTTTCCAAAGTTCAATACTCGTTTAAAGTAAATGAGTTACTACGTTCAGCAGCACGCAGGCAAATGCTGCCTGATATAGGTGATACTGGCAGGCAGTGGTTGCAAACTTTCCTTTCGGGCGAAAGTTGTGGTTTTTGTCACCTTAGGGTACCGGGATTAAAATCCTACATTCTAACAGTGACTTTTCGCTAAATGCATACGCCAATGACAACATTATGATAATATTTTTGTTTTAACTTGAGTGTTGTATAAATCAATTTCGTAAGATTCTTAAAAGGCATTGCCAATTATCCTCAAACACACCGAACTATCGCGAACGATATCAAATGGACTGTGCTCACTGTAAATAAATTTCAGTTATCCGAAATCTCAGCAAATGCAACATGGAGGTATCCGTGTGACGGACCTACTCAATGAGCGGTGTAATTGAGATATGTGGTTGGACCAATTTACCGTACCGGCTGGGAAGATCGCTTTTTTCTGGGTGTCAGTTAAACCATTTAGTCTAGAGCATAGCACATATACATTATTACAGCGAACGGTGACTCAAGTTCGAGGAAGGATTTGGCATCTGGACGACTAACTACTTGGACTATAAGCTGAATCAAAATACAGCTATCTGTTTCGTCTAAAGAGTTTGTGTGTACTCGGAAAACTACAATAAACAGGTCAAACCGAGATCAGTGAAAGAAAGCAGAAGGCACTATTAGAAGAAGTCTATTATGCAGAGAAATCCATTTTATCCTCTCGGGCGGCCATGGTTACGGGAGAGGCCACAGCTAGAGTCGACTGCTTTTAGTCATGTCTGAATGTGTTTGTGTGATAGGGGTGTAGGGTTGTTCAATGGTGGGCTTACGTGACGGACGCAGTAGGTCGCCTGATTGCTTGCAAATGTTGACTACACCTAGCGCCCATTTGCTGACACTCAACTCGCAAGCGTGGCTCCCCGAAGCTAGGCTCTGCCTAGCGGCCAGACTCCAGTAACCGCCTCGACTGGCGGAATAAGCCAGGGTGAGGGTGTCCATTTGTGCATCCCCACACACGGTAATCTCAGCCTCGCTGGCCGGATGGATTACCGCATCGGCACCGTCGAGGCGAGGCTCCGTCTGGCCCACCGGAAGAGGCCAAAGGTTAAGTCAGCTTCCAGGTAAGCGAACGTTATTCTGCTGCCTTTGCTTTGCGTGTTCATTTTTGCCTGCACTCCGTCTTCTTGTTTGTGTTTGTCCTTGTTGGAAGCTAAATGCTATTATGCTGGATTTCCTCTGTTGGTTTCGCTTTTTGCTGTTCTTGCCTGCTCACTTTTTTCTGCCTGTTGGAGTCTGTCCTTACTGTAAGTTAAATGCCGTTCTGCTGATTGTGTCTGCTCACCGCTTATATTTTAGTAACCAGTTAACCTAGAGAATGACTGGAAAGCTCTGCATCCCGTCTGTCTGCACTTCCCCACCTCCTTTTTAGGCAACTGCAATGCCATAGGCAGTTCCGGACTAACTCGAAGCGCTCTCTCACTATACAAAGGCCGTGTCCCATAATGGAGTTCTTCAGCCGCCTAAGACAACTGAGCAGCCCGATAGAGGTAGGGCACTGCTCAACTCCGCAAGTGACTATAAAATTTGTGGACGCAGACGCAAAAAACACCATCGGAACCGTGAAAATCAAAATAACAATTCATACTCCCTCTCCAGCTCCGCCGCCCCACTCGCTAGACTGGTGGGTGATTCCGCTCACTCTGGCAACCTGGAATGTTCGTTAGCTTTTAGACAATCCGAGGCCCAATTGACCGGAACGGAGGACGGCGCTAGTGGCCTGGGAACTGGCACGCTACAAGGTGGACTTCGCCGCACTCAGCGAGACTCGATTCTCCGAACAAGGTCAACCGGAGTAGGTGGGTGCCGGCTACACCTTCTTCTGGAGCGGTCGCCCCAGGGCAGAGAGACGGGACACGGTTGTCGCCTTTGCCATCCGGAACGACATCGTTGGGCAACTGCCCTGTTTGCCGCTCGTCATCAACAATCGCCTGATGAGCCTCCGTCTGCCTCTCCGGCGGGGGGCCCATTCGCCACCATCATCAGCGTCTACGCTCCAACGATGACCAGCACCGACGCCGCAAGAGAAAAATTATACGAGGACCTGCACGCCCTCTTGGCGACTGTGTCGAAGGCGGATAAGTTGATTGTCCTTGATGACTTCAACGCCGCGTCGGCACGAACCATGATGCCTGGAGAGGAGTCCGAAGTCACCATGGTCTCCGCGGCTCAAAAGAAAATGGCCTGCTCCTTCTCCGCACCTGCGCAGAACACCGACTCGTCCTGACGAACAGCTTCTTCTGCCTGTCGGGCGAGATAAAGTCACCTGGATGCATCCTCGATTGCGTTAGTGGCACCCGTTGGACTTTATCCTCGTCCGGTGGCGAAAACTGCTGGACGCGCTGGTGACAAAGGCGATCGCGGGAGCTGACGAGTGGACTGACCCTCGTCTTACCATCTGGAAGATGCTGATTCACCTACAACCTCGCAGGAGACCTCAAGGTAAGCGACCCCCTGGTAAGCTGAAAATTGCTTTGTTGTCTTTGCCTGCTCGCCATCCCCATTTCAGCAAAGAGCTATCCCGCGGCGAATCGGAGTGTTGCAACACTGGCATCATACCCATATTTCTAATCTTTATATAGTCACCAATTTTTAAGTTCTCCGTCTAGCTAATCTGCTGGGTCGCAATGCCCAACAGTACCAAGGCAGTGACTTGAAAATACCACATTTGGGTACCAGGTTAACAGTTCCCCAATCCGTCAAGTCGAAGACGCATTTGAATCTGCCATCTGGATTGGTTAGTAGTATGTTTTGCGGGAGATGTTCAACGAAGTAGGGCTTGAAATATTCTTACCCACTGACTTTTACATTGCTTTATTATATTTATAATTTTTATAAGAAAGCCAAATGGGATACTCTGTTTGGACAGCCTGAGTTTAAAAAATAATGGGGCACGCATTTGTGGAACCCCAAAAACGGAAGAAGTAAACGCAAAAACATGACAGTCCTAAGAGCAAAAAGACACACAGCAAAGCAGAACTGCTGCAAAAAGTAAAAATTATAATTCCGATTAAAGCCCTAGGCTGGATATCAGTGTCGCAACACTCAAATTCGCGGCGAATCGGAGTGCTGCGACACTGGTATCCAGCCGAAATATGACCTAGGATTGGTTCGGCAGGATCGTTTACAATTTGCAGAAACTTGCCAACGTAACAGCCAATGTAGTACCACCGATCGAGCACATTCTTTCAGTTGACTTCATCGAAGAATAACAGTAGGGATTTCGTAAGGACCCGGCCACCAACATGAATCTCGTGGAGCGTATACGCACTCGAGGCTTATCTCCCATACCCAAGCGGCAGAGAGGGAGAACACGACCGGCCATGCAAAGGGTATTAGGAAACTGCAAGTCAAGACTAACTGCAAGCAATGCATATGTATAATACCCTACTGTGATTCGTCTGCCTTCGGTCTAATGTTCTTCGGGAAGAACATTCTAGACGAGCTTGTCGATAATTCCAAATACGCAGATCGATCAAGTTCGAGGGGAGCAGCCAATAGAGATGCGTCAATAATAAGATGACAGCGCCGTACAGAAAACACACATGGCCTGGTTGATTGGCTGGCTCTTGTTCTGGGGACAGTAAGTACTCCCAAATGATTTGATACTGCTGGCTGAGTATGCAAGACCGGTCAGTGTTTCCCCAGACGACTTCCGATGCTCAAACAGAAGGCGTTTAATAATCCCAATATTTACACGCCACCAGATTCACCGAGGTCACCATCAACATTACTTGAAAAAAGGACGACAAAATGCGACTGTGTAGATTATAGGTGCAAAGAAAGCTGCCAAGGCTCATGTCACATGCGAATCAAAAGCTAACGATCAAGGTCATGTAGCCCTGTTCAAAGCTTCCTTATGTTAATTGGTCACCCATTAACCAATGACATTTCCCACCATGAATATGTTCTCCAATTAAGGGTTCAGGGGTGCAGCGTATGCTGCGCGGACTGCCAGGACGTCATGCTGTCACACTCTAGCAGAACTAACGGACAGAAACCCCGCTGATTTAATCGGTGATCACTCATTTGTAGACCGATTGTGAGATATGGTTGCGTGCGAACCACTGTCGACGGCCGTCAACCCCGTACGTCAACCTTTGACACTTCCCCACCTATTTGTTTCCCTTTTATATTTGCGCCAACATAGTTATGCGGCTTCATTACTTTTCTCAGTTTTCCACGTTCCCTGTTTTGTGTATATATATGCACCCACTGAGCTTCAAATATTGTCGTTCCTAACTATTTTTCCATTGTTCGTTATCGTTCTGTTTTTCCCAACCTGGGCATATTATCAGCATACAGCTAGACGTTGCCCCTCTCATTTCCATAAACAGCTTGCATTTTACATCCGTCGTCTAATCCTCACCACTTACGCAGGTGTCCGCGCGTGAATGTTGTATGATGGCTGCTTTAGGTACGAACGTCCAAGGACTCGATTCTCTGACCAAGTAAGGGAAGCTATACATGGATTCGAGTGATTCTCAGTCTGTCCCCCCCCCCATGAACGCAGGACATTAAAATGGTGGCAACCGGTGTGCGCGCCAGCCCTTTCCCCCTCTCCCAAGCGAACCAACCCACTCAACACGCCCAACTCTCTAGCAATCTATATCCCAAAGGACCCAGCTCCCAGTAATCGGCGAACTATACGAACCAGTGCAGAAGATACGAGAGTAGATTGTCAGTTCGTTCCCCCCTTCCCTCGAGTACGCAGGACGTTATAATGCCACATGAGTGTAACAATGGAACGATCAAGGTCATGTACCCCTGTTTAAACCCTCTTTGTGCTGATTGGCCACCCCTCAGACATGACATCCCCCCTGTCATAATACCGAGCCCCTTCCACGAGCCTCCTCATTTGAGCTGTCTCTCATACTCCGTACACGTCCTGTTTCCAACTATCATTCTCTTTTTCATACATAACAATATCAAGCCCAATGCTGTGATCAGGAAGAGGCAGTGAGTGCGCCCTAGACTTTGCTGAATTCATCGAATTGGCGGGAGTGACCGTCCGCGTGGTCATCCCTTCAAATTGCAGAGGAAGCTGGCTCATTCGGACGTCCGAGGGAATGCCTTCTCTCACAGGGTCATTGGGGCATGGAACGGACTCCCTGATGCGGTGGTTCTTTCCGAAACTGTCGAATCCTTTAAGTGTATACTAAGTGCTCCTTTGCTGAGAAACTACTGTACATATAATCACGATTGTTTTAGCGGCGGCAGTTTGTGCCTGGCTCACACTTACCGCTAACTTTTTAACTTTTCGCATTTACTGATGTAATTGATGACTTTATTTCTGTTTATCGATATGAATAGGGAGCTCAAGGGCGAAAGCCTCATTCCCTTAATAAACTGACTTACCCCTGTGTCTGCGTGTGAATGTTGTAAGATGGATGCTTTAGGTACGAACGCCCAAGGACGGACGTCCAATAAACGGAAGCTTTACACGGATTTGAGTGATTCTCAGTCTGCTCCCCCCGAGTACGCAGGACGTTACAATGCCACATGCGCGTGACAGTCGAACAATCCAGGTCACGTACCCCTGTTCAAACCCTCAGTGTGCCAATTGGCCACCCCTCAGCCTTTTACATTCCCCCCAGTCATAATACCGAGCCCTTTCCACGAGTCTCCTCACTTGTGCTGTCTCTAGTACCCCATACACGTCCTATTTCCAACTAGAATACTGTTTTGCGTACATAACAATAGGATGCCCAAAGCAGTGACTAAGAATAAATTTCACACTTCCACGGACTGACACTACCCTCGACACCTTTGAATGCAACGCTATTTGTTCCAGGTTTGACCTAGCATCGGGTTACTGGCAGGTAGAGGTGCGGCTCACTGACTGCATTCGTGGCCCTTTCGGGTTCCTGTACTTTTGAGACAATGCAAGTTGGGTTCGAAAATACCACAGCGCGCCTTTTAGTGATCGATGAATCAAGTCTCAGCCCAGTTGATTCCTACCCAATTCCTAGTTTATATGGACACTGTCATCGTTCTCGGGGAGATTCGACAGTCCCATTAAAAACTTAAAAGCTGTTTTTGAAAACCTCAGACAGGCCGGTCTGACTCTTAGTCTCCCAAGTGTGTATTTGTACGGCCGCGTGCCTAGTACTTAGGATACATCGCGTCTGCCACTGGAATAATAACCGACAACGACAAAGTGGAGCAATTTCGCGAGTAGCCTACCCATATAAACGTAATCCAGGCCCGTAGCTTTTAGGACTTGCTTCTTACTACAGGCGATTTACAAATGATTGCATCCACAAAGAAGGCCTGCTCTAGAAGTTAGCCCAGAAAAGAAACATGAAATCCAAATGGGCAGCTGACTCCACAAGTAGACTCAAGACACTGGAAAATAAACTGTGTTCAACGCCAATTTTATCTTTTTCTGACATTAGCTGTGGCGCTGGAAAATCCGTCCTAGGCATCGATACCAGTGACACCGCGATAGGCGCAGTTCTGTGCCAGCAACAGCGAGATGACACGGAAGGCGACACCCAGCATCTGCGTTGAGCACTCACAAAGGCGGAGCGCCGTTATTGTGTTATTGGAGAGGAGAAGCTGGCACTTACGTGCTCTGTGGAGGGATGCCGATCGTACCTTCATACCGTCCCATTATCGCGCGCGCGCTGACCACAGCTCACTGGCGTGGTTGCCGACCCTGCAGGGCAGGTCGCTAAATGGCAAGAAACACTGACGGAGTGGGAACTCGAATGCGCATTCCGATCAAGCCGTCAGCACGGAAATGCCGGCGCTCTCATGAGGAAATTTCACCGCCGTCGTATTGCATAGCGACCAGTGTTTGTTTTCGGCTGCGACTCAAGGGAAGGGTCCGCACATCTCTTCTGCTTATAGCAGAAAGATTAGCAACACACAACCCCTCAATGAGTCGGAACTCGCAGAATATAGTTATGAAAATCGCTGCCTGAACAGCATATGGGGCTAACACTTTGTTGAAAACGGTACTCATTTCTATGCTGACAGCGAACAGTACCAGAGGCGTGTCATCTTGCCACTCTCGTTGGTGGAAGACGTAGTGAAAAGAGTGCAGATGTAGACGGCACTTGAGAATAACCTACTGGCTGCATGCCTCTGACGGATAGTCACGTCTCCTTCCACATGATCTACGTCGAAGCTGGGACTGTCAAGTTTGAAGACGACTACACTGGTGATAAATTGGCAAACGCCGTAACGAGTGACCTAGTGGGTCGCTCTCAAAACACTGGG